TTTAATATTGGTCATATAAATAGTCACATGATGAAAATTATCCATGTTTGAGATGTCTATGGGTTATTTTATATTTTTATCCATGTTTCTATATTTTTAATGTTGAAAAAATAAAACTATATACTTCCTCAATTTTGAAAAATTCCAGGATTTTTTTTTACAAAATGTATTGGATGTTTTTCAACGTGTATACCAAATTTTATCTAAAAATAATAAAAATTAATTTTTTTAGAAAGGATATGATAGTTGGGGATAGATTAAATCTCAAAAAAAAAAAAAAAAATCAAATCAAATCTGAATTAAAATTTCAGAGATCAATTTTCAAATAAACAAAAGTTCATAAAAGTTTGTCCCATTTATCTCTAACAAATCCTTGTTTTTTGGATTTTGATCAAGGGAAAAAAAAAAAAACACCAAGCTAAAGTCAATAGAGTACCACAGTCCAATCCAATCCAATCCAAAAAGCCCAACTGAACCCATACCAGTAATTCACAGCCAATCAAGAAGTTGAAAAACCCAGCGAACAAACATGGGCTACACATGTAGCCCAAAGCTGAAGTCTCTCTCTCTCTCTCCATAGATTCCTGTAAATTTTGGAGGAATAATTACACTACAAGTACAATAGCTCTTAATATTTTTACAATTAAATATATAAATTTTAATCTTTTTATCTGAGTACATTATTTTTTCAAAATTGTCAATTAAATAATTTTCATCTAACTTTTATTAATTATTATGCTATGTAATGATATGTCATTTATCTCATACTGCTAAATTATAATTTTAATCTTTCATTATCAGAGGGAATATTTCCTCTCATATTATATAGTCATCTTCTACTTTTTGGATATAATAACAATTGTTTAGATATTTACTATTCAAAAAGGTAGAAAAAAGATAAAATAATTTAGGAATGTAAGTTTCCTTTAAAAATAAAAAGATAAAATCATAATTTAATATTTTATGATAAAAGACATATCATCAAATAACAAATAACAAATAACAAAGTAAGTATAAAAGTTAAATTGAAAAACTTGATTAGCAATTTTAAAAAAAAATCAATACACTTCAATAAAAAAAAATTATCTGCTTATATTTAATGACAATTATCTCAAAATTTGGAGCATGTGGAAAAATAATTGTTGTTTGATAGTAGTATTATATATCTTATAGACAGATTTTTGCCTTTCTTTATGAAACTACGAACTTTCATAAGGATGGTCTTGATAAAGGGCCTTTTTAAAAGAAGCTTAATTAATTCTTTTTCATAGTCACCCTAATTATTACAATCATTGTCACATCATTAACATTCAACAAAGCATGGAATCCAAAAAGTGATCAGTTCAGCTTGATGGTCAAGGACTCAACATTAATTATTATTATTTCTTTAACTCCTTCGAGAAAAGCAAAAGGAACTTTTTTACTTTTTAACTATTTGAGTTTAAATTGAAATATTATTTAACTTGTTTGTAACTGTTGAATGCTTTGGACTTGAAAAATATTTTAGTATTTTACCTCAAAATTCGATATTTAACGGAAATTAGTAGTTAAGATAGATAAATTAAACAACAGTAAATTTTACAAGATGCCAACATGCTAAGGAACATGAAATTTGTGACCATTTTATCCATTAATAAACGAATAATTAATTAATCTCTTGAACTTCTAGAAATCCTAGCATTTTATCCGAAAATTAATATTCGAGATTATTACATATTTAGTAAGCGAATTTATAAGGTTTTTCTATTCGATTGTCTTGATTTTTATTATTTTCAATTTGAACGTATCAATATTTATTTTGATTTTGTAACTTTAATGAATATAATTAGCTAGCAAGGTGATTCCCATTGACAAAATGGTAATGGTAGAAAGCTTAATGTTGATTTCCTTCGAAAAGTTGAAACTGAAAGGAAGGTGTGGCCCAAAATCCGGACATGAATTCTCTATTATTTTCCAATCTATCATTAATTTATGCTTACGAAATCATAAAACACTTGTCCATGCTTGTGGCAAATCCATCCAAAGAATATTTCCCAATTTGAAACCGTCTTCTGAATTCTCCAACCTCTTGTCAGCTTAGTCACATCCCGACATTCATAATTTGTTTCACCATTTTTGGCCTCTAATGACAATGAAAAAAGAAAATAAACAAACCCATCTCTTTATGGTTCCCATAATACCCTCTATCAACCTTTAAAGAAAAAAAATCCCACCACCAATGGTGACGTTTAAAACCTTAATGTGTCATATGCCTGAAAATTTGCTCGACATTCCAAGCATGTTACCATATATACCACATATTCTCTCATGATTGGTCGATAAAAAGAAATGAAAATTACACTAAAACTAGCGTTAGAAGCCGATTCGTACTTATCCCATATATACCATACATAAATTACACCAGTTAATTGCTGAGTTTTATACATGAGTAAAGAATCTTACTTGTTAAGGGAGATCTACATTGGAGTGTCACTCACATTGTTAAGTACTTTTTTTGACGAAAGAGTTGTGTTTCAGTTGGCCGGACTTGATGAACTCATGATCCATTAATTTATATTTTTGGATTAAAGTAATGTTTTTCCTTTCATGTAAACCTTCTTGTATACAAGTTTAGATGCAGGCTCGAGACGCTCCACAATGTAAGTTTTTTTTCTATAAATTGTATTAGTGTCGATTGTTTTCAATTTGAATCGAGTGATGATTGTGTTTAAACTCTTATGACTTTAATACTTTTTCCATAGGTGAGTAAAAGAACTAAGTTCCAACCTTTGGTTATTCCACTCGAATTGTTAAGTACTTTCACCTAATGCTAATCGATCTCCCCAAAATTAATAACACCTAATCTATAGTTAATGACGTCGGACTTTAGAAACCACTAGCCCTAATTTGAATTTTTTTGTTAAAGTCTTCGTCAAAATTGGAGCAATGGCTATCAGTTTTTGAGGCAAGATAAAGGGAAGTTGAAGCTATATATGGTTAAAAAATAAAAAAGAGAACGTTTCAAGGTGTGGAGGGGTTTCTTGGTATGTTTCCTTTAGGTCATGCAAAGGCTTAGGTCATGAGCCCATGTTTTTCCACTTTCAAACGTCTGGGTTTTCTTTGTTTTGTTGCGAATTTCTTGTTGTACGTTTCCTTGTTATAACGTTTGGTTTAGGTAATTGGGCGTGGGAATTTGTTCTGAGAATGGTTGCTTGCACCTTTAGTTTGCTATTTTGAGAGGCTTACTTTTTGGTTTATTTGATCAAATATAAACGATGATCTCATCAAGAATATTTTGATTTACAACAGTACAAGCAACAATAAGAATGAAAGAAAATTGGGGAGAAAAGGAAGACAGTGAAAAAAAGTCAAGATTTTATATTAATTAATCATCTATTTTTTAATAAAATATTCTAATGTTGACAAATCTAATTAGCTAGTTATGTGGTTAACTAATCAGCAATCAAATTTCATTTCCCAAAAAATAAAAAATAAAAAAAAATTACTGCCAAAGGTTGTGATCTAACAATAAAGGATTGTTTTGGTTTTATCAAGAACAATACTAAATTCTCACTATATATATATATATATATATATATATCACAATTATTTTTTAATAATACTAAGGTTGAGCTGATTTAACCTAAAAATAGTATAATGGTCGACTAAAAACTATATGTATTCCGATACTAACTTAATTCGAAAAGTGATGAATTTTATTTGTTAAAGTTTTACTTAGGTATTCTCATTTTATTAGAGATATAATTAATCTTATTTGGAGTAAAAGCGATAAAGTTTAACTTCTCCTAATAAGTATCATTTTAAAATTCAAACTCGTATATTAGTAAGAAGTCTATATCGAGACCAATTCACTTATTACCGAACTAATAACTCGTGTTAGAGTTAATTTTAATTATATAAAAAAGATCTAAAGATATCCCATTAGTTGCGGATATAAAAAACTAGAAAATAGAAAAAGCATTGGATAATTCTCTCTTTTTTTTCCTTTTCTTTTTCTTTTTTATTTGAAACATCTCTATTTTTATTTCTTTTTAGAATCTACCATAATATGTAAGTCCTTACCATATTTGGTTTTACTTGTACTCTCTAATTAAGTACAGTATATAAAATCTCATTTTTATTATTTTTTTTAAAAAGAAGACAATTTTGAACATCTGCTTATAAATGATTGATTCTCTCTCTTCTTTTACTTTCTCACAAAGAAAAGATATAAAATCCTATATGTAGTTTAAAATCTAACAAGCATCCTCATTAATGAAGAAAACTTAATCACCATGGATATGCAAATGTTAATTATATTTATTTTTATTCCCCTTTTCCATTTCTTGAACAAATTCAGAATCAATTTTTTGCATTTTTTGGGTTCAAAAGTAAATTCCGCATCTAAGTATATCTCTTATTTTTAAAACTTGTAAAGAATGTCTAGATATGGCCCAAAGAATGTCATACAAGCACAAAATGATATCATCATAAACTTTTGGATACAAGTGCCTGTTCAACTTTTTTTTTACCTTTCTTTTTCACCCAATCATGAAGGCATTTTTGAACAAAAACCCAAGTCTGTGATATTCCATGCCCAACTTTTTCTTTTTCAAATCACAATCCTAAAGAGGACTAAACTGACGTTATATATATATATATATATATATATATATATATATATAGTAACTTACACTAGTTGCTCCATGAAAAAAAATAGATAAAAAAAAATTAAAAAAAATTGAGCTATAGTGATTTTTTTGATAGGTTCAGATGTAATTCTTTTTTATATATGTCTATCTGTCTTTTTAAAATTAAAATCATAGAGTAATTAACGTACATGAATATTATGAAATTTCTTTTATATATATATATATATATATAGAAAAAAAAAGCTGCACATAGTGACAAAATTATGCAACTGAGTCTCCTTAGCATTTATTCTCTTTTGTATTAGCATAGACCAACTCATTCTTTTCACTCTCTATCTCTATCTTTCTATTTGATGAATCCTAGAGACAATGAAGAAAGTTGATGTTGAGAGCTCTCTGAATAAAGGGTCTCCATCATCTTCTCTTGATCACAGTTCTGATGTTTATTCTATAAAATCATCATGTAAGGATTTGAGAATTACTAAGAGATGTGCAGTTGGTGTTAATTTGCAAGAAATAAGCTTGAAATCAGCCACAGTTAGGCCTTATGTTCGATCAAAAATGCCTAGGCTTCGGTGGACACCTGATCTTCATCACAGCTTTGTGCATGCAGTTGAAAGGCTTGGTGGAGAAGATCGTAATTTATTATCTTACTATCTACAAACTACCCTTCACTTCTTCTTCTTCTTCTCCTTCTTAAAAGTATTTTTCTCATGTTTTTTTTTTCATGGGGTTTCTGTATATTTGTAGGGGCTACTCCAAAGATGGTTTTGCAAATCATGGATGTGAAGGGCCTTACCATATCTCACGTAAAGAGCCATCTTCAGGTTGGTTAAAAATAGAAAAATTGTTTTAGTTTCAACTTTTGAATCTTCTTGAGAACTTTAAGTAAAACTTTCGGTATATTTTTGTGGCCAGATGTATAGGAGCATGAAGCATGAGCAGATGATCCAAGGTATATGTTTTTGAATTTCCCATGAAATTATTTTTACATTCGGATTGATGGATCTGGTTCACATTTGTCACCTCTAATTTATTGACTACTGTGTATTCCTATATAAGGTATTAATTATGGGTAAAAACTCAAATTGCAGTTGTCACCATGGAAGATAATTATTCCATCTTATTTATTTTTCTCAGTTCTGAAAATAATTCTTTGTCCTCTATGTCAGAATGTTATCATCTAAAAGAGGAATTATATTAAAGCTGCAACAGTGACTAGACAAGGGTACCATATTCAGTAGCTTATTTTTGGACATTTTGATCAGCTTCTTGTAAACAAAAAGAACAATTCCATGGCAAAAAAGTAAAAATAGAAATAATTGTCTCCATTTGAAAGCTTTAGTCATGAGTTAATATAAAACTTCGTTTTTTTTTAAAAAAAAAATCATTAAAAAGTTAAGTTTTTTATTGATTTTTTTATATGATATAAAGAAATGGTGTGTGCCAGTAAATATAAAGGTAAAATTGAAAAAAAAAAAAAAAGGTGAAGTTTAATGAAAAAACAAATTGACACCCTTCTGAACTTAAAAAAATCTTGATTTTTCACCCTAAACAATATGATTTTTTGAATTTATCCTTTTTATTAGGGTTGCATTGAGAAATTAACTGAAAAACCTATAAAAATCATCTCAACTCCTCTCTTCTTTTTTATTAGTAAACAAGTTTTCCTAATTGGTAGAGAAAAAGAGAGGAATCAGAATGATTTTTATGGATTTTTTTAGTCAATTTCACAATAAAATCTTAACTGAAAGGGCAAATTTAAAAAATTATATTGTTTAAAATGTAAAATAATAATAAAAAAAGAAGTTCGAGTATTTGTTTTTTTTGCTAAAATTAGGGTCTTTTTTACTCTCTGGCCTAATATAAAATATAAATACCTCAAGTATTTTTTTTTATTGAATGGTTGTTGTTATTGTTTTTGTTTTGGTAATGAAAATGGAAAGCATATATAGGTAGGCTATCTTTTACTCTTCAATGGGAAACATTACATCCACATCACCTCATCTATATCGAAACTAAAACTCAAAGTTTTTTGAAAATAGCTACGATCATTCATTATTATTTAATAATAAGATTCATACTTACCACAACTTTTTCACCCTTATTAGTATTTCTTCTTTAGCCTAATTATTTATGATTTCCTTGGTGCAGAAGCAGCTTCGGAAGCAAAGAAGAATTTCAAGGAGCCCAAGATGCAGAATTCAAATTATTTGTCACATACAATGTGCTGCCAACAGAATGGTCAGTTACATGGCAAGGGATTGGTCAATAACAGTGTACTTCTCTACCAAGACCGTGGAATTCATAATCCTGCTAATGGACTTGCCCTAAAAAATGCTAGCTTGCCATCTGAAAGGTTCAGAAATTTCAATCTTTCTCTCCATTACGTAGTTCTGATAATTATATCAATTAGCATAGAATGGGATTACAGTATTTATTTACTGTAGTAGATCTAAGAATCAAGAACACAAAACTAGATTAACTTGAAGATTGAGATGATAATTTATAGTAATGAAAATAGAATAGATCGATAGTGTCCAAAAATTTTATGGATTTGAATTACTGCTCGCTAGCTAGTACCAGTAATTATTCATGATTAAAAAAAAATAGTTATCAAAATTTTTCTCTTCTGCCTTTGTTTTTGATTAAGAATGGATTTTTATATACGAGATTCGAATTCGAGACTTTAATTCTTATTTTATAAGAATATTGTTAAATTATGAGATTAGACATTATTGGTTTCAGAGATTAACAGTACAAGTTAACTTATCTGATTAAGTTACTTTATTCAGTTCTAAATGACTGAGGATTAGATATCTGCATAGGAAAGGAGAAGCTAATTCTATCGAGTAATTCAAGTTCCAATTGACCTAAGGAGAGAGAATATTATTTTATGTAGTAGTCAAAATTTTCACTAATTGCATCTTTTTCTTTGTCATCTTATTGTTTTGTAATGATTTTTCCTTTTGGTCAGAATTAATAAGAATCAAAATAACCATTAATGTCATTTTTGGGGAAATCTTTGCAGAAAAGAGAAGAAAGGGCTGTGGCTTGGGAAGAGAGTGAGTGAGCCATTCTTATATGAAGAAATAACAAGCAAGGGGTGCTGGGAGCAGAAACCTGATAGTTACATCATCTTCAAGGATCTACTCAAGAGCTGCAATAGCAAAGTAAATTCTCTACTACATGTCAAGTACTAATGTTTTTTGACATGTTTCTTACATCAAACATGGTACAAAAAATGAACTTGCCGTTCCACTGATATTCACACATACGGTATCCATATCTTTTTTTCTAAGGGATCTCGTACGTGTTCAATTTTTTTTTAAAATATATTTAAAAATAAAAAAAATAACAATTCTTTATACAAGTTAATGGAGATCAATTTTCTTGTATCCAAAGGACGTGTAGTTAGATTAAAAAAAAAAAAATTAGACAATCTAGTCATCAAATTAAAAAATTAAAAAATAAAAAGTAAATTGTATATCTAGAAAAAAGTTAGATTGTGATTTTAATAGTATTATTTTCTCTGTTGGTAAGCTGACTAATATAAATTTCTAACTTGGTTTTAATATCTAGTTTGGTTTTAATCTCTTTAACTTTGTTTGTACTTTTTTTCTGTCATTTTCTGGCTAGCTTTTAGTCCAAACTTATCGTTCTCATAAAAAAATTGTTACCTGGAGATTAATTAATTCATAGTTTTGAGTACGTGCCATTTGATATTTCAGGAGACGAATGACCAAGATAAGATGTCAGCAGCTGGTGCCAGAGGTTGCAATAAAAGTCATCAAAGTTTAGAAGATTTAGCTGAGATTGCAGAGAGAATAGATGGTGACAGAATGTCTTTATCCCTAGACTCAAAATTTTCTGAGTCTTTTTTGAAGCTGAGGAAAGCAAAGAATAGTTCAGAGGTGAATGATGTGTCTCTGGAGCTCACTCTTGCATAAAGTCGTACACATTATGCAGCTAACTGTTTGGAACCTGTTAAAAAGTCTCTCAGCCTGATATTGTTGTAAGGTCCTATAGTTTACTTAGATGCAGCAATTTGAGGAAATTAATAACCTTAACTCTGTTGTAACTCTAATAGACTAATGAAAAGTTAGTACAGTTTGCTAATTATTGATCATAAAAGAAGGTTGAGAGCTTAAAAGTTAGGCTGTGCATTTGAATGTCCTTCAGTACAACACGTGCTAATGAGCAAATAACCTAATGATCAAGTACCTTCTTCTTCATTCAACACTTACGAGTACAGAGTTCTATGGATCTTGAACTACATAATAAGAGCGCTTTAATATATTATAAAAGCAGAAACTATACACCTTTTAATCTTTATAACATGTTTTTTCAAAAGTATATGAAAAATACATAAATTATGCTTCGATAACAATTTTAGCACGAAGCCATTTTTTATCCAAGATTCCGAGTTCATCCGATGTGGCATCATACATTAGATGACGCCTTAGATGAAAATCCACATAGGATTATACATGGCTTAAAATTGTAATTTAGTTATGATGGACGACATTTCTCCCGCCCACATGTTCAAAACCAATTCTTAAAACTAACTAACCTAATTCAATTTAATTCTTTAGAAACCAAATCTTTAATTTCTTCTCTTCTCATTCTAATTGACGAACAAGCCAGCCCAAATCCTCAATTTTCTTCTCTTCTTTGTCCGATGAATAAGAAATCCAATTTTCTTCTCTTCTTTATGCACGACGAACAAGAACCACAATCTTTTCTCTTCTTCAACCAGTCCCTTTTCTCCTCATAAAATTCCCAAACCAAAACGCATACCTATATTTGCATACCTCTCGAAAAACCCATGAATATTCATGTAAGTCCACCGGTCGGGAACCAAACCATTTTTCTTCATCAAATCTACCAATCTATTTGATTCCATCAAATCTAAAATTTATAGTGTAACCTCCATCCTTCACTCCTTATAATACTCACGAATCTTCAAGTATAAGGTTTCTCTCTCTCTCTCTCTCTCTCTCTCTCTCTCTCTCTCTCTCTTTTATTTCATTTTTTATGAATTTTCTTATTTATGTCTCGCTTTGATAATTTTGGGTTTCGGTGTCTCCTTTGCTCGTGTAAGTTCTTCAACTCGCATTATGATGGATCAAAATCCACACCTAGATTAACCACACCTATATTTGGATACCTTTCGGAAAACCCGTAAATATGGCATATATAGGTAGTAGCTTTAACATGGATGAAGCTTTAAAAATATGTTCTTTAACTTTCAAAACACCTTTATTCAAGAACAAGACAAAGACAAACCTATATATTTCATGAACTGAAACTAACTCGGGGAAGAAGTTCATTTGCGACCTATATTGGAAGGTATTTATTGTTCTTAATTACTAAAATTTCTCCTTTGTTATAAGAAATATACTATATATTTGATATTTTATTTTCATGAAATATTACAACTTTCATGTTGACAATTATGGGTTATAAAAATGGATTAAAGATGATTGCATTATGTATGGAGTCGGGAAGTTAATTGTAATTGAGATTGAAGAGTTGAAGGAAAGAATAGAGTTAGTTGAGATACTTGAAAGAGAAAATTCAAGTTTGATAGGAATTGAAGTAAAGAAGAGAAAGTAGACTAACATTCAATTGATTGAAGAACTCCACAAATTGAGATCCGAAATTATTAAAATGAAAATTCAAATGCAAAGATTGAGGATTGGCATACGGGAGTTGGGAGAAAAAGTCAAAGCTATTGCCAAGTGGTATTTTATGACAACATTGAAAGGTTTTGTGTTATTAGGATAGTTGTTGTCTTCATATGAGCAAAAAGGCATGTTAGCACTACCTCTCTAAATTATGCAATGTCGTATATAATATATTAAATTATGCTATTGTAAAGTATTACATTTGCTCTATAGCTAAGGTCTCACTTCTTTCGACAAAGAGCTCACAAAAGATAGCTTCGTAGCTATGGTCTCACGGTATCAATTCTTTTTATTCTTTGTAACCCAAGGTAAATGAAATATTATGAAATTTTATATTAGCTAATCTATTCAACATCATAGATCCATAAAGCTAAGCCTAAAAGAACCATAATGTTAAGGTCATCAATGGAACTTGACATTACAAAACAATTGAAGCCTTTATATGCTTATAGCTACATAGCAAGTATTAAATATATGGAGGTTGTTTACAAGCATGTCATCTAAAATGCATAAATTTTTCATACATGCTATAGTCTAGAATATCTCAATACAACAAAACACAATTGTAGTTCTAATGTTTTTTAAAAAATACACTACATGGCCCACTATATATTTTTTATCATAAAATGCACATGTCATATTTTATAGTCACAATATTCTAAAAAATGAATCATACAACAGGATGTTAAATGCAACAAGGAGGTAAAAAAAAGTCATTTAATTGAGTAGTTTAAAATATTCCTAAGCGATTAAGGAGCCTTCATGGTTCAACTTGAACTTTGTGGTCCTTGTAATTGGCATAACTATTGGTGGAGGAATCTGTTTATCTTTAGAAATTATTTCAATTCTATCTCTAATAATCGGCGAGCAACTTGAACGAAAGAGGAGGTAAATTGAAACCGTGTTCTTATGACATAAATTTGTCGAAAAAAAAAATACATAACACTTGCCTTTGAATACATGTTACTAGTTTTATCATTTAGGTACACTCCAACTCCTTTTACTTGTTCTTTTCTCTTGATATTTTTTTAACCTTTACAATTGCATCTTGCCTATATGTTTGTGCTTTGTTAGATCTAGTCGAGATTACTGATTTTGAAGAGCATGGAGGTCCGGATCGGATTGTAGATCCGAAATTCCGGGGAGGTTTGAATAAGACATTAGATCTGGATGTGGATGCTTATCCAAAATTAGAAGTGGCTGAAATTACGGTTGCTTTGAAGGTCTTCCTCTTTTAGCCTACAATAGTAATGATTTTCAATTTCATATTATGAGGAATTAAATTGGAAATAAAATTATCAATATTAAACTATACTTACTTGGTAATTTTACTTTTTTGGAAGCTAAACTATTTGTTGAACTCTTTACGGGTTTTCCTCTTACACTTTAAACATACCACATGTATAATAAGTTAGATAAACTAACAATATAATATTATCATATGAATTTTGTTCACTAACATGATTTTTACTAGGGTTTACATTCTCTTGGCCCATAATTTTGCATGTTCTCTTGTTATACCCATAAGCACAACAATTTTGACATTGCATTTTAACTTTTACCTTGGATGTTTTGTTTGAATTTCTCTTTTCTTCATCTTAAGCTTTTCTCCTTTTTTGCTTCGGCCTTTCATTTCGAAAATCATGTACAATAGTTATTTGCTTTTCAAAAGTAAAATAAAAAAGATGGAAAAAAAAAACAAGAGCAATGAGATAACTTTGCCAAATAAACTAACCTTCCTAGCATTTTCTTATAAGGAGGGGCTATACATCACGACCTTTACTCCTAGACCACATTTTGAAGCCATTCAAAAGTTCAAGATCGTTCGAATATGTTCCCACATGTCTTTACTTCTTGAAATAAAGATCAACATAATCTATAAGGTCAACCCTTACAAAGGCAATGCTTGTTACTCGTGTGTTTGCATGAAATACTAATAGCATCTTATTTCCTATAGCTGTATGTATGTTCCTTCAAATTCACTACACATGTATCATCATCAAATCTTGTTTGAAATTTATGATCAACTTGTGAGTACTATCTTAGATGCACACACTTTCATTTTATTTTTTTCTAGCTTTCTTTTTATTTTTGGGCAAATTTCATCATTGACTAACTCAAACATCTTACTCTTAATGTACATCCTCTCCATCACATAGGTCTTAATATCTTCTAATAAATCGATCAATGGCTTTGTTCGGCCTTACATATAGTTCCATTAAATGTTCTAACATATTATTTGTAGATGCATTACACTTTTGATTGGTCATAAAGAAAGCCTTGTAAAATTTTATGACCCAATCTTCATGAAGTCATCAAATGCTACCTCATCCATCACTTTCAACTCTTCCAATCTAGCATTGTGATCTATCAAATTAGTAGCATTCATTACCCTTTAGAATAACGTCTTATACAGACTCACCATTTTTTTTTTAATTTGCATAAATGTGTTATGTACGGTTTCTATATTCACGAGTTTGGAATATATTTATTGATAGCATTCTGTAGTCCCTATAATCATAAGTAAATAATAATTTAGATGATAAAAAAAGGTAAATGATTTTAAACTTATAAATATTAAATAAGTTGAGTTAAACGAGTTAATGCTTGAATTTGTCTTTTACTAGTCATTTATTATCGTCCAAGAATTTTCATCAATGATGTTAAGATCCTTTGTAAGCAAATCTATAAACTATCTTCGGTTATCTTCATTCTCACTATCCACAATGACCCATGCTACGAGAAACACTTGGTTATTGACATCTCTCCATACTTTAATTAATAAATAATCTCCCAAAAGTGTTTTAGAAAAAAACACCATTAAGACCAAACACTCTTCTACAATTACCCAAAAAACTATTTCTTAATGCTGAAAATCCAAGATAAAATCTTCTAAAATCAAAATTATCACACTTCATAGGTTCAAAACAGAATGTTCCTAACCCATCCACCCTCTTCAAATCAAGAATATACAATCTCAATCTTGCATGATAATTTTAAGAGATCCTCTCAACATCTCTAAAGCTAAATTTCTAACCTTATAACAAATCCGAATATTTATAGTTAATGTATACCTTTCATTATAATATCTTGTAATTCCTTTGTATTCCAATTAGGATTATTTTGAAACTTATGGATGTATGTTTTAACTAGCCATAAACAAGAGGTTAACCTATTTGTTAATGATCTTTCATATTTATGGTCAACATTAACACACTTCACTTTAAAAATGTGCTCTAATTACTTTTTACTTGCATACACTCTCCATCCACATTCTTATACAATTTTAGCTTCCATAACTCTTTTTGAACCCCTTACCTAAGTCAAATCTCTTTCATTTTTAATAAAATATAACTACATAGCTTGTTTAAATTATTTTTCGTTTGTGAATTTCATTGCGGCCTTGAACACCAAGTTCTTACGGGATCATAAACAATCCCTTTTTTCCTCATTTTTCCTTCTTCTATAAGCAAATACATCATTTTCATCACTTTTAAAATGGATAATTTGCTCATCCTTACTTGTTATCATATTCACTTGTATAGCCTTCTTTAGCGAGGTTGAGGTATATTGGGCTTTGTTGATACATTAGTTCTTTTAACTAATAGGGTAGGATCCACACATTCATCATTAAAGCTGAAGAGTAGAACCACACTTCCTCTTCATGCTCCTTCTTTTCTTTTTAGCTTTGATTAGTTCTTCATCCATAGAACTTTCGGAATCACCATTGCTAAAACTATTATCACTTTGTGGTTCCTCGATTGGTAAGTAGTCATCATTACATCATTGCTACCATTCTCCTTATTATCATTAACACCGACATCTTCTACATTCTTTTCATTGTTATCATCATCAATATTCTATTTATGATCATCATCAATAATGTTTTGTTCATGATCAACATCACCTACATCTTCATTATCCGTCACATCAATTGTAACATCTATATTTTCACCTAAACTACCATCACCTTCCATTTCCTCTTACGCCTCAACATACATATCAACAAACCCATATTCATATATAACACTTAGCATTTTCATAAAAACTTCACCCTTATCTATAATTAACCCTCGCTCACTTAAACTTAACTCGAGTTGTTTAAATAACATAACCTTAGATGTCTTATATCCACATTCAATAACCATATCGTGAAGGTCTTTTAATGTCACATAATCATGATCTTCTAACCACTTACATGATCCAATCCTAATCTCAGCAATATAAGTGATTGGATTTAAGTCGTTGAATACCCCACCAATATGAAATTTAACTTAAATGTCTTAGCCATCTTGTGGACAAAAACACTACAAGAACAAATAATTTATAATAAACTTTGTAAATACAAACTTAATATAATAAAAAATAATTATGCTAATTTAGGTGTCGGTGATGCGGTATGGGTTTTGATCCATCACAATGTAGTTGAAAAATTTACACGAGCAAAGGAGGCACCAAAACCTAGAATAATCAAAACGAGACATAAATGAGAAAACCCATAAAAAAATTAAAAGAAAGCAAATAGAGATAGAGAGAGAAGGAACCTTATAATTGAAGATTCGTGGGGTAATGGGTACTTGTTGAAGATTTATGGGTTTTTCGAGGCGTATACAAATACAAGTGTAGGTTTTGGTTGAGAATTTTATGAGGAGAAAAAAGACTGGTTGAAGAAGAGAAGAAGATTGAGATTCATGTTCATCATGCATAAACAAGAGAAGAATATTGGAGTTCTTGTTCGTCAAGTAAAGAAGAGAAGAAGATTATGAATTTTGGTTGGCTTGTTCATAAATTGGGTACATAAGAGAAGAAATTAAGGATTTAGTTTTTGAAGAATTGAATTGAATTAGGTTAGTTAGTTTTAGAAATTGATTTTGAATAAATGGGCGGCGACATTTCGTTCATCATAACCGAATTATAATTCTAACCCATGTGTCATTCTATATGGATTTTCATCCAAGGTGTCATCTAACGTGTCATGCCATGTCATATGAACTCGAAATCTTGAACGAAAAATTAGTTTTGTGCTAAAATTATTATAAGAAGCATAATTCATATATTTTTTATACACTTTTGAAAGAACATGCTATAAAAATTAAAATGTGTATAATTCATGCTTTTATGATACAATAAGCTTAATATGAGATATCATCATTCTAATTTTTAAAGTCTTTTGATTTTTTTTTTTAGTTAGAGGTAATTTAGTAAAAAAAAAATTGCTTACCATCAAAAAATTGATTAGAAAGACAGATTTAAAACTTAAATATTATTCAAAAATACGATAAATATAATTAAAAATGTAAATATATTATATAAAAATAAATTAATGTATTTACCCTTAAAAATATTTTGAGGAAATCACTTCCAACCGCGTTACCTAATACACATGAAAAACCTTGGAGGAATTTATATGCAAACAAATTTAGCAGGCAATTTATTGCACGTACGAGCGGTCTTAAATATATGATGTAATAAAAACCTGCTGGAAGGAATCTTTTTTCCTGTGTAACAACCACTGTGTCGGCAGTAAAATGAACCTATTTGTCGGCCATTTATTGCAATTGGGTTATTTTATGTTATTATAACCATGATGAATCTCATTCCCTCATCCAAGCCTCTAACCAATAGATTACAAGAGTACATTGTATATTACTCCCTCTAGTTTAAAAAATAAATTAATTAGTTTTTCGTTTTTTCAAAAACTAATTATTTAATTTTTAATCAAAATATATACATATATATTGCAAATGCACCAATTTGAGTGTAAATAATACGAGGTTAATAGTTTTATCTGTCATTTAATTATAATACGATAAATTTTTGGGTGTTTTTATATTTTTAATTGAATTAATTTTATTTTTTATTAGGTAAAGTATTTAATCTATCATTCTAACAAGATTTTCATATTAAATTATCAAAATTAGCCAGACGATTGTATATAAAAACTTTTTATTTGACTAGATTGTAAAGATATTTTAAAAATAAAAATTAATCATGTGTAAATTATATGAATAATTTCGATGGTTTAACCTAAAAATCTTGATAAAATGATAAATTGAAAACTAAACGAATATTTAAATATAAAATTGATTCAATTAAATATCTAAAGAAAAATATAAGAATTAAACTGAGCTATTAACCCAATAATCTGACTAAAATCAGAAATTTAATTTCAATCAACAAAAACTGATCCAAATATTCTTGACATTAAAATAAATAAATAAATGAATTCTGTTGATGAATTGCAATACAGAGAGTAGCAAAAGTTGAATTCTATTGCTGCTAGCTAAGTTAATCAATATTCATGGATTGACATAGAGTGGTCTCATAGTGGGGCAGTTTTCCACTTGAGGTAGATGGCTCTATTAATTAATTTTGTAAGCACAGAGTATAGATGATTGGATGTGTAAAATTTGTAACATTAATTCTCAACTGCACCACTGTTTTCATCAACTAATTATTGAAGTTCAATCACTATAAATTCTCTTGTAGTTTGGTTATGGTAAAATAGTATCTCAAGCTAGTTACTTTAATTTTTTGAATAATGGCTACTAGGTTTATTTTGTTATTGCTTCTAACGCTTGTTTTTGTCACTGATGCTAGGAAGGTAGCAATGAGCAAAAAGGATGCATTTCATGAGGGTAAGACGTTCAACTTTGATTACTTTCCTGGTTATGACTTTGGCTCTGGATTTGATCATGGTGCTGGTGCTGGCTTCGGTGGTGGGGGTGGATTGGGAGGGTTTGGTGGTCGTGGAGGAGGAGGAGGAGGAGGAGGAGGAGGAGGAGGTGGTGGTGGTGGAGGTGGTGAAAAAGGTGGAGGATTTGGTTTTGGAAGTGGAGCTGGAGGTGGATTTGGGTCTGGAGTTGGAGGATTTGGTGGTGGAGGTGGTGGTGGCGGCGGCGGCGGTGGCGGTGGTGGTGATCCTTTTGGTGGCGGGATAGGTGGTGGAGCTGGTGGAGGAGCTGGAGGAGGGGTTGGAGGAGGGGTTGGAGGTGCACAGCCTTGAGTAGTACTCCTGAAATAATAATATTATCTTGTTGCATTGTTTATTGTTGATTTTCTACATTATGTTGTGACCAATAGCAAGGGAATAAGCATCATTTATCCTATTTAATTAACGTGATTTCTGTCAAGGATTGATCTTAGAAATCAGGCTGTTTTCTTCGTAAAATTAAACCAATTCAAATGCTGTGGGAAATTTTTTTTTTATTTTTCACTCATGTTGTACTGGATTAATTTGCTCCTATTTATTTTCTTTGATTGAAATAATGGTGCTCGAAATTTTGCATTTTAGAACGGTTATATGTATTGATAAACACCATTTTTAATTTAAAAATTTAAACATTTGAGTTATGAATAAATATTTGAGTACTTAAATATTTTTATTTATAATTGATGTAAGATTTCATTCATATGTTAAACTCGACTACTGAAATTTAACTCTCAAAATTATTACGTTATAAGAGGATTTTTTTTTTTTTTTTTTTTTAGCCACAAGAATGTAAACTTCGTATTTGAAGATAATAAAATTGTCCTAAATGTTCTAATTTTGATGCTAGAAAGTTGATTTAAAAATACATTTTTTTGTAATTAAAACTAAGGTAGAAAATAATATTTTATAAATTTGGAAAATATGCACCAAGGACAAGCCAAAAAGTTATGGAAAAAATGACAATATTTCTTAGATCGAGTGGTTCATCATAGAATCTACAATTTCGTTACAACTAATTACGACTTAAAATTTGGTATGTCCAATGGGAATCCCAAAACTTGTAGAATACACATGAGGAGGACAGGTTGCCTCTTTGAACTTTACTTTTTTACTATCTATCTCATTAATATATACCAGTACATGTACCCTTTGAGCAACAAAACACCGTGGTCAAACAATACACAAATTTCCCTACTATCATACAAGTTTCAGTTAAGTCCCACATCTACTAAAGCATTCAATTGCACCACTAATTCATAATATATATGAAGCATTGCAAGGAATATCCCTTCAAGTGGCTCATACGTCGTATCTTGTTTTAAATTAATACTAAATATTATTATTTCTTTTGAATAAAAATTATAAGCTTATAATCAATTGGATCGTAATAGTGTAATATGTACATATGTGATTGATGAAAGTATAAAAAATTAGGTTAAAAAAAACGTTGATAGTTTAACTATATAAATAATATACAATGTCTTATATCATCCATCTACATACAAAAAAATCTAAAGTATTGATATAGATTAAAAGATTTTTATTTTTATATATTTTTTAAAATTATTTGAATACTTAATCAATTATGACAGAACATATATATCATATTAATTTTTACTGCTATGATATGTTTAAACATATCTAATTTATGCTACAACAGGGGCAACTTTCCATTCTGTTGGAATTAATTCTTGCGCTAGTATACATGGATTATGTATAGATTTCAAAAGGTGAACTCACTAAATCTTAAGAGGGATGCTAAACATCACCGAAAAAGTAAAAGTAAAAAAAAATAAAAATTCTTTGAATAATTTTTATCTTAATTATTGGAAGCTAGGTGTTGAATAAGAAATTAATTTGCCGTGCCCATGAGTCATTATTATCTTGTGTTTCTGATGACAAAGATAAATACTTTTGTGCTACTTAAAATTTTGATCATGAATATGATAAATTAGTTGTGCAATTGAAAATTTGAAACTTCTTATAGATGGGGACCTAATTGAAACTTGTACAATAGTGTAATGGTCAAGATGGAGCTCATTACTATAGGAACATTACCCCGATTAGTCATCAATTAGATTTTTTACCCGAGCTACGCTACTCGTAAGATAAAATATATAAAATTATTTAGAAAAATTATTTTAATTTGATAGTATATTTTATAATCTGAGTGTATAAAAATATATAAAATCAAAGGCGAAAAAATATTTTAAATATTTTAATGTAACTTGAAATTAAATAGATGAGAATTTTGTAAAAATAATAAATTAAAGTAGCAAATTTTAAATAATAAAAATAATCAACAAAAAACACTAAAAAAAATGGAATCAAATTACAATACAATTAAATTTTGAAATTAAAAAAAAATATTGTATAAAAAAATTGAGGATCATATAATTTAAAATTAATTGGATGAGAAAAGAATGAATAATATTAAAATAAATAGAAACTATCATTAAATGTAATTTTAAATTAATTGGATAAGAATTTGAAAAAAAATGACAAATTAAAGTTATAGATTTAAAATAATAAAAATAATAAAATAAATTAAAACAAATGGGCTAAATCACAATAAAATTAAAATAATTGGATATACTCTCTCTCTCTCTCTCTCTCTCTCTCTCTCTCTCTCTCTCTCTCTCTCTCTCTCTCTCTCTCTCTCTCTCTCTCTCTCTCTCTCTCTCTCTCTCTCTCTCTCTCTCTATATATATATATATATATATATATATATATATATATATATATAGGGAGAGAAGTGCTCGGTTGCAAGCCAACCGGGATAGGCGCCTGGTTGGCTTGTGCAACCGGGTTGCACATAATTTTTATTTTTTAAAAAAAATTAATTGAGGGAGGCCGGCGTGGTTAGCCTCGTGCGAGCAAGCTACCGCGCTTGGCCTCGCCATCGCAAGCTTCGTGCGGAAAAAAAAGAAAAAACTCTACAACTTTCGACGAACCGAAGTTATCGGAAGTTCGTAGAAAAATCGGAAGTCAACTTTCGGATCTCTAAAAATTGAATTCGATCATCATTTTTTTCTCCAAGCACCTCTAAATGATCAGAATAAAGCCAATAAACACATCTAAAACCTTAAAAATCATTTTAATATACATAAAAACAAAGAAAAATAAAAAATTAAATTGAATTTTTTTCTTTTTTTGGCTTCGATCTACCTCCTCTAATTTTTTAATGGCTTAAAACCACTATGGACAAACTCATCTCTCAAAGATAAACTAATCTAGTAGATTTTCATCGGCCGAGTGACTTAAATAAAGTTGGTCGGTGATTTCTCTCTCTTCCTCTCGGCTTTCTCTCTCTACTCAAGGATCAAAATGGATGAGCAAATGAACATATAGATTGAAATGTGTTTTCGAAAATATCAAAGATCAAAATGTAAAAAAAAATCATAAATAGTGAGATGCACATGAAAGATGAGAGAGTGAATAAAAAATTATGAGAACATGAACAATACTTCAAATAGTAAAGCCAGAGGAACCAATAATTTTTTTTAATTTCTTTAGTTAATATTGTACTATCCATGATACCCAAGTTTGTACAAGTCTTGACAAATATGGTGGGACTTAAAACAAGTACCAATAAATGTTTGTACGATGACCAGTACGTAAACCGACTGAATCCCACCATCTAGATGGAACCTTGTTCTTACATTTGGCATTCCATTATCATGATCAAAAGCATTGCATATGACTCACACAAGTTATTATTGTTTCAGCAGTAAACCAACTGATTTTAAATAATTTTGATTTTGTAAATGTATAAAATTTAAAATCATATTTATTAAAAAATGATTAAATCTTATCGTTTTTATCCCAAAATTTAATTAGTGAAATACAACTCAAGTAATTATATTAACTAGTAATATTTATTTTTATTTTTTTATTCAGTTTTTTATACTACAAAACAAATTCTGTATTATTCAAAATAAAAAATCAACTATTTTATTCATATCTATTAAACATTTATCATCATATAATTGGTCAATATTAGATGGAAAGATTAATTTATCTTAAATTTGAGTAATATAAAATTTATTTTATATTATATATATAGATAAAATAAAATGAAAAATACTGGATATTACAAACATACAGTGTGTATTTCACTTTTTCTCTAATTTTACCATTTCTTTTTCTCCTTGAGGATCTTCATGTCCTAAATGGATACCGCCCAGTAGTCTGCAGCATGGAGTCATTCCAAATTTTAAATCTTTCGTTTGCCAACTTCTTCATCACATTGGTCAAATTCTTAAAAGTCCTTAGCTAGCAAGTGCTTTTCTGGACGCTCATCAGCTAAAACTTTTCTTACCAAATTCGGCTACACGATAGGGCATCAACAGGGCTCCTCAAGGTAGGCATGCATGGTGCGTTGGGATTTAGGATTTTGACTTCGTAAACTTATAAAAAAAAAAAAAATCATAAACTTTAAAATCCACTAGGTGATTAATTATATAGAAATTTTCAAGCTTGATGAAAAGGGCAAATAGTGCAATAGATATTATATATATATATAAAAATTAAATCAAAATATAAGTTTATTATTTATTATACTATTTATCCAGACTCACATACACTACACATTCAAACTATGCACTATTTATTTCATTATGTAGTAGCATTTTTATAGTTTTTAAATATTTTAAAAATATTTATTATAAAAGTTTTTCGTGACATTATACTTTGAGTTTTTTTTATATTATTTTTTTAGTACGTAAATATTTTTTATTTGATTCTAGTTTTTTTTTTTCATTTTAATCACTTTGGTCCTTGTTTTTTTCTCTAATTTTTTTAATTAAAAATTTTTAGGTAAAAAGATGTTTAGAAAAAAACAATTTATAAAATAAGTTTTTAGCTAAAAATGTGAATATAGATAAATAAATAATATTTTTTTAATAAAAAATTTATGAAAATATAAAGAATAATTAGTAAATATAAAATTTTAATTAAAAAATGATAAAATTTTATTTAATTTTGATTTGATAAATTTTAATAGATGTGTTAACATCAAAATAAAATAATTTTTTAAAAATAATGAATCGTGTAATATGGATTAAAAAAAACTAGTGGCTTTCTATGTTGCTTCTAGCTTGTATATAATAATTGACAAGACAATCTCAAAACAAACTTGCTTTAAAAAAAAAATGGAACATTTATTCAGGAGACGAATTGCAGTGGAATCGACACGACGTGAAAGTGATCAACATTTTATATTCCATTAATTAAGACCATTAATGCTATGAAGCATTATGGTAAAGTTGCTGCTTTTTTGTCCACGCGGAATTTTAAGAGGTTCCAGCTAAGCATATAGGTCCGTTTAAGGATTATCATTACCAGCATCTTTCGAATCATTACCTTCAGCATTTCCTATGCCAAATCCAAAGCCAATGCCAATTCCAAATCCCATGCCAAAGCCAGTGTTGCTGTTATGACCATTGTTACCACCACCTTCACCATGTCCATATCCTTCACCGCTGTCGTTACCACCACCTCCTCCCCCTCCCCCACTGCCACCTCCTCCTCCATAATCGCCTGTACCTACACCTCCACCAAAGCCACTGCCATGGCCTGAACCGCCACTAGAGCCACCCGACCCTCGTCCTCCACCACCACCATCACCTCCTCCTCCTCCTCCTCCTCCTCCCTTGCCACTTACACCACCTCCTGCTCCAAAGCCACTGCCATGACCATACCCACCACTAGAACCACTTCCACCACCACCACCTCCTCCTCCTCCTCCACCACCACCTACTCCTCCTTCATTGCCACTTACAGCACCACCTACTCCAAAGCCACTACCATGACCACTTCCACCGACTCCTCCTCCACCACCGCTACCACCTCCTCCTCCTCCTCCTCCACTACCACCTACACCACCGCCTGCACCAAAACCACTTCCATGACCATACCCTTTGCCAGAAACTCTTCCTCCTCCTCCTCCTCCTCCTCCTCCTCCTCCTCCACCACCACCACCACCTCCTCCCCCTCCTCCTTTATTTCCTACACCAAGTCCAACTCCAACACCGAAACCTCTACCATAACCAAAACCTTCACCAGAACCACCAAAAGCACCAGCGTTGCCACCTCCACCACCCTCTCCACCCCCTCCTCCTCCACCACCGCCAACACCATCACTTGCATTACCTCCACCTTCAATACCCCCTCCAGCACCATGTCCACTACCATGACCAAATCCTCCACTAGCTCCTTCTCCTCCACCACCGCCCTCACCTCCTCCACCACCGACACCACCATTTCCACCAACACCAGCCCTGGCTCCATAACCTTTACCGTGACCAAAGCCACCACTTGCATCTCCACCACCTCCACCTTCTCCGCCACCACCTCCTCCTCCCACACCAGTGTCACCACTACTTGCACCAGCCTCGTGCCCTTCTCGATGTCCACTATCTTCATCTCCATCACTGCCTCCTTCTCCTCTTTCTCCACCATCACCACCATGATGACTACCTTTTTTACCTTGGGTGCTAAAATCTCTACCACTCCCGAAGAAGCTTCCACAACTTCGCCATTTTTTATCGCAATCCTCACTATCATCATCGTTGTCGAACTTCCATCCACTTGGGCCACCATAGCTGCTTTCATCATCTTTATCACCTCCATAACTAATGACATTCAAAGCATTAGCAAGGCATAAAACAAGAAGAGCCACGTACAAGAATTTACTAGAGATTCCCATGGTACTTCTCAAAACCCAAGCCAACTTGCTTAATTCTCTCTCTAGTCTCTCCTATTTATATGATAGCCATATGCCACCCCCAGCAAACAATACTGTATTTCAAAGGAAACAAAGGGCAATGCATATGACACTGAAGAAATAAACAAAGCATCCAAGTCAAGAAAAGTCAAGATTGTTTATAGTGTGGTCAACTATAGCCGCCAAAAAACTATATATTCTAGAAGTGAAGAAAATGGCACATCTCCTAATCAAACCCCAATAATTGGCGAGAGTACTTACAAGCTAGGGTCTTAGGCATCATTATAATTAGCTAGACATGGTGGATTAGGTGATTGTATCTTGTCCAAATATCTTCGACAGGGAGAGAATCAAGCATTACACAACAAAGTAAATAAATAAATAAATAACCTTTGTATCATTCTTGAAATCTAAATGGAGTCCTATCTGTCATTTCACTTTGTATCATTCTTGAAATCTAAATGGAGTCCTATCTGTCATTCACTTTTAAGGAATTTAAGTATATAATTTGAGTTTGGAACCCTAGCTAACTTTTGGATGATCACCTATCTTCAACATAGGATACAAAACATCCATGTGGATACCATGTGACCAATGTGGTGCAAGAAATAAGTATGTTTTTTGTTGTTCCTGTAGTTGGTATAGTGGCTAGCTAGCTAGCTAAGTGGATTGATCACTTGAAGTATAAGCCTAGTACAAAAATGTTAACCAGCAATATCCATGCCATGCAATGATGGGCTTGAACAAAGAACGACTAACGGTAAGAGTATTGGTGGGCAAATTCTCGAGAGAAAAAGATACACACAAAAAGACACCAAGATGATCAAGGTAATTATTTATTTTTGAATATCTTTTCTTGTTTTGGAAATATTTTGAAACATTTTTGCTGTTATTAATATTTTCAGTGGGAAACTAACTACTCCCACTTTCGCAGCTGCTTCACAATTTCATTCTAATAATCAATAATCATTCGCTTGTATATATTTTTAAACTTTCGAAGTGGAGTCCCGTGATTCCAAATATCCTTCACTTCCAGAACCTCCCAAACCGTATGTGTGTATATATATACAGAGAGAGAGAGAGAGAGAGAGTTATGAGCGGATCGGATCATAATAGCGTTAGATCCAATTTATTTAATAAAACAGATCATATTTAATCTTATAAATTCAAATCAAATTTTAAAAATATAAATCCGGATCCTAACATATTTGAATTGGGTTGAAAACTTCATTGGATTTATCGCTTGATTTTTATAAAAAATTTATACTTACTACATTTAATATATTATTTGAATATAAAATATATTTCAACCACTACATATATAATAAAACATATTGAGGTAATATTTTATCTATCAACACAATTAAATAACCTTAATAAAAAAATTATTTTGAACTAGGCAAGAAGTACGATAAAATTAAAATAAATAAAAAATAAATAATCTTTATTTTTTGTCCATGTGGTAGCAAAATAAATATTTGTTAATTCAAATTCTAAGATGATAGGGTTACAAATCAAAGCCTGCAAAGAAAGAAAGAAAAAAAATCTATTAATATTATCAAGTATTTTTAATAATTGATTAATACATTAAGAGTCGATATATAATGAGCTAAAAAAATGAAATACCATAAGGTTTTTTTTTTTTTTTTTTTTTTTAAGTCAATCACTTATGGAGTTATTGCTTCCACAATCTCTACAGGTAAAAATACATGATAATTATCAATAACTTCATCTCCCATACTAAATGTAGGTTCAAAAGGAGTAATAATTGCTAAAACAGCTAGAACATCGCGATCAATTGAGTATATGGATTTTAATTTTGTTTATTGAGCATATTGTCTTTTTTAAAACTATCAATCAAGTATTTTTTGTTTAACTTATATCAATTGCTCTGTTATTTGATGAGGTGTTCTTTAACTCATACTACTAAATTATAATTTTGATCTTGCATTCTTGGAGGAAACTTTTCCTTCTATTTTATTTTGTCATCTTTGATCTACTTTGTGAATATAAAGATAATTTAGATATTTACTATATAAAAAAAAGTAGAAAATGGGAAAATAATTTGGAAGAGAAAGTTGTATACAAGATTAAAAGAGTAAAATTATAATTTACTAGTTTAGAGAAAATGAAATGTCATCAAATAATAGAGAAATTGATAGAAATTGGACATAAAATACTTGGTTAGTAGTGTTAAAAATGTCAGTACTGTACGACCAATTTTAATAGCTGAACAAACAAAAGACTGACAAAATTGAAATCTTTACATAATTTAATTTGGTTTCTAAATGAGGAATTTGATAGAATCAAAGAATAGAATTTTTAAAATGGATTTAAAACTAGACATAATCTAACATTGATATAACCTATAAAATAATAATTTAATTTCGATTGATTTTTTTTAAAAAAAAAGACAAAATAATACCTCACCGTTAGCCTCTAAGTTATGAATTATGAAAGTATCTTTAAATTAATTTTTATATACCAAAACAACATCTAATTCTCTAATTCGATTAGAGATAGAGTATTAATATCGATCACTTCTTACAGTATATGTTCTAAAATTTAAATTTTAATAGTTATGGAGGAAAATCGAATAAATGGAGTTAAAATTTAAACAAAAAATGTTAAATAATATTATTACAATAAAACTAAAAGAAATGAGAAATTTTAATAGTGATTTACTATTCATTCATTAACTGTAGGTGCAGACTCAGCTGCACTGTGAAAGGAAGCATGGTTTTGTTTTGTGATTCTTCTGACTTTTGGTGGGCAATATGGAAATTATGAATCCACTCACCCCAACTCCAATGCACCCAATCGGGCACAAGCAGAAAGCGCAACCAACATGGCAATTTCATCAAGCTCCACATTCTCAAGCTGCATTCTTCGAAACACAGCAATGGCATCGTGGGGCCGATTCGCCTGAGCATACCCGGTAACGAGAGCTGTCCAGGAAATAACATTTCTTTGAGGCATATGTTCGAATAAAGCTCGAGCATTATGGAGGTCGCCAAGCTTAGCATACCCGTTAAGCATTGCATTCCATAAAGCCACATCTCCAGTGGTCATGGTCATTTCATCAAACAGCTTGCGAGCATCAGAGATGCTAGGAGAGCCAAAAGAGGAGTACATCCGGACCAAGGCGGTAAGGACGTGAAGATGAGAATGTTGGCCAAAGCAAATGGATTGAGAGTGCAGTTGCCTTCCAGTGTGGACAGATGATGATCGAGTGACGGCCTTGAGGGCGAAAGGAAAGGATTAAGTGTCGGGTCACAAGCCAACAAGTTGGATGTTATTGTAAAGAAAGATAAAAGATTTGAGGTGGGAAGGAGAGCAAGAGAGAGCGTTGATGATGGTGTTGTAGAGATAGATACCGGGGGAGTAAGTAATGGAGGCGAAGATAGAATAAGCATAGGAAGAGAAGCCGAGAGAAAGCAGGCGTGAATGAATCAGCTACGGAGGCGGTGGTCTGTATCGAGGTCTCTGAGAAGCATGAAGGCATGTGTCTGGTGGATGTGTTTGAGATTAGAGGAATGGGTGAGTAAGGAATTGAAAACGGATGATGACGATGAAACAAGGGAGGTGCAGGCGAGGAGGAGCATTTCTATTTTGCCCTGCCCTGCTCCGCAAAGGGGAAGACAGAAATTCCTCAGTTTATACCCTAATTGTTTAATTAATGTATTTACTTTGTTTTAAACCTATGAAACATGTTAGATTCCATCAATTTTACTTCAAACCAAATGACTCACTCATGTCAAAACAAAAATTGATGTCCCAAGCAGTAAGTTAGTCAGTCAATCAGTTGGTGAGTGAGTGAGGAAGAAAACAAAGTGGGAGGAGTGCGGGTAAGGAGTGGATGGGAAACCTGTTATTATATATATTATTAATTTTGTTACAAATTAACTATATATCAGCAAGTTTTTTTTTTTTTTATGTTTTAAAATTTATATTTTTAAATCAAAAATAATTTAAATAATATCTTAAAATAACCTTTTAATTATTTAAATACAAAATTTTATAATAATATTATTAATTATTTTATTAATAAATATATATAAATTAAATAATTTTATTCGGGACATAGATTCAATTTATATTAATCATCGAAACAAGATTTTTATTCGCATCACATCATACGAATAGTTAATCCTATATATATAATGATAGTCTGATCGCAACATAACATGGGTATTTGACTAATGAAATGCATATGTGATGTAGTAGACTAAGTGTACATAATAATTTCTCCTAAAAATGAAACAAAAAAATGACCCCACAAAGTTTATTCTCTCTCATGCATTTTCTATTTTCCAAATAATTAGCCGAAGTTTAAGTTCATCTATGTTTCTTTAGGAATTCTATTACATAAAATCGAAATACCCAAAAAAAAAATGTTCAAGATCAAAATTTATCCATCAAGCATTATATAAGTGTATTTTATCGTACTTATGTTGAAATGTGTTTTTTAAAAAAATCAATTTATTGATTATATATATATGTGATCAATTTGAAGTATTAAATGATTACTAACAAGTGTCATAAGAGCACTAAATTCTCAATTATTTGTTCTCCTAGATAAATTATAAATTAGTCTTTTTATTTTTACAAAACAAATTAAATATTTCCTTTAATTTTAAAAATTGGTTAATTAATCATCTGATCAATATTGACTATATTTAATTTAATATTATTTTATTTTAAAGAATGTCTTTTTTGGTCGTCAAACTTTTCACCCTATCTATTTATTTTATGTACCTTTTCCATTTTTTTAAATAAAAAACTAATAAATTAAAAAAAGACATAAAATGAATGAGAAGTGCTAATTAATTATATATTTTTAATTTAGGTGGGCTAATTAATTTGTTTTGCAAAACTAAAAAAATTAATTTATACTTTATAATTCACTCATGTTCTCTGGTATCACATTTTTTTCCCTTCATATGTGACAACTGTTCGTTACGTTTATTATTTTTCACTAATTAACGTGATCTTTAATATCACAAATAAACCTGTTATCCTTTCGTAACATTTTCTTTTTCAATTTTTTTTATGAAAATTTTTCATTTTAATTATAAAATCAAAGATGGTTACCGTATTTATATTGTTATTTGCATTTAATTTTAATTTATAAGATCAACAATGAAATTAGTATTCATTATTTTCAAACGATAAGTTGCGGATAGCTGTGAAAAGTATATTACTAATTCATTATTGTATTTGTTCTAAATTCAATTTATTTTGCAAATTTTAATATCATTTTTTTTTCTCGTTTGATGATGGTCATTAAGTGATTCCACTAGGAAAATTTTATAGATAGGCAAGTACTTACACGGGTGTTTGTAAAATAAATTATAGAAACTTTGTTTTTTTTTTTTTTTTTACTATTAACTTGAATATTTTATACAATTTTCACTTTGATCTGCATGTGATGTGTGGGCCAAAAGGACTACTATAAGAAAGGCAGTTCGAAAATACTCTAATCGTTAAAAAAAAAAAAAAAAACAGATTGGGTTGACAAGTCCATCGTTCTGCACCACTCACTAACGATAGGGTTGTAGTTGGCTGCATCTCGATAAGGCACGTACAGTCAACCTCCTCCACCCACTGCACATATATGACATAACACAAAACATCCTTATTTAGGAAGCATAGCATAATCTCCATAACATACAAAAGGGCCATATTTTATCTCTCTATCCATTTTCACTCTAGTGCAAGAGATGCTCTTTTGAGCTCTCCAAGATTTGCTTTCCTTTGAACAGCACTCACCACCACCAACAACCTTGTAAGTCCCTCTATGTCTTGCTCTTATTTCATGTTCAGGACATTTACCATGGAATTATGGTATAAAGATTACATCTTTTCTTTTTGTATATATGTGATTTATTTTTAAGGGTCTGTGATTGAATGATGATGCTTCCTGTGGGCAACGAGTGTTTGAATGAGATCAAGAAAACCCATTTTCAATAATTTGGAAGGAAAGTTTTCTACAAGATTAAAAGAGTAAAATTATAATTTAGTAGTATAAGCAAATGAAACGTCATTAAATAATAAAAATATTGACAGAAATTGGACATAAAATACTTGATGGGCAGTGTTAAAAAAGTCTAAATACTCAAATAAAAAATTAAAATTCATATACTCAACTGAAAAAGAGAGTAAAAGTTGAAACACAGCAGCCACACGCATATAATTTTTTTTTCCTTGAACAAAAGTAATAAATTAACTTTATTTTTGTAATTCAAACCTATGCAAAGTAAAACTTCTTTTCCCTATTAAACTTCTTAATTTTCATTTAATTTTGGTAAACATAAACACTTGTACAAATTTATAAAATTAAATTTCTTTTTTTAATATTATTATATTAAATCAAATTGATCTAAACTGATTTGAAAATATAAAATAAAATTTATGACTACGTAAAGGGTTGAAGATAGTTCTAGATTTGATCCAGAAGGAATATTGTAGGGAATTTATTAAAATTTATGGCTACACAAACTGTTGAGGGTAGTTCTAAATTTGGATCAAAATGAAATATTTTCTCTTTCTTTAATATAATTTTATATGTTCAATTTTTAGTGTATCCATCTTTGTTTAAAAAAAATTAAAATATTATGATTTTGTATCGAGAATATAGGTTTCAAAATGAAATAAAGTTATTATGATTTTGTATAATAGTCATAATAAATCGAAAGGAAAAATCAAGATGTATACTGATTTTGTTCACTAACATATCTCATAATATTTAGTTCAAAAATTTTCATGAAATAACGGATCAACTCTTTGGGTATTAATAATTTTAATAATATAGTAAAATAAACAAAAATCAATATGAGCAAATAAAAAATTGGCTTGGAAAAAATAAAAATAAATGACAACAAATCCCCTATAAATATCGTCACTACTTTCAACACTACTAACCAATATCGTCACTATTTTCAACATATCATCAATAAAAAATTTTAAAGAACTTTAAGAATTGTTATTCAAGAACTTCTTAAAATATATTGTAATCAAAAGAATATGTAAGAGTTTGTTGCTAAATATTAGACTAACTAGGACCACTCAGATCTTATAGAACCTATCATTAAAAGGAGATAAGGCTAAGCGAAGCGAAAAGAATTTTCTAAGAAATGAAAAATGAAAACTATTTGTCCACATGAAATTGGTAAATAAGTGATTGTCTTATAAGGAATAAGGATATCTATCTATATATAGTTGAAATAGACTTATTTTTGTTTTCTCAGACTGAATTTTAAAACTACTTATTTCTTATAAACATTAATATTAATTGACTTATTGACATACTTAATTTATATATTTATTTATTTTGTGATATTGGCAGATTCAATTTTTAAACTGCCGAACAGATGGCAAGCAAGGCTTGAAGCACTTGACCTATGCTATATCATAGCAATAGAAGGGCACATGAAAGTCATATATATTATACAGCAACGACTTGATCTTGAATCCCAATTCCAAAATTTCTACCTCTAATTAAGACCAATACATGGATTATCTGACCACCATACTTGCTTTTTCCCTTATACTTTTCGCCCTTTTATGGATGCCAAGAACGAGTAAGAAAAAAGCAGCACCGCAAGCTGGAGGTGCATGGCCTTTGATCGGCCATTTGCATCAATTAGGAGGGCCGCAACCACCGCACATAGTTTTAGGTAATATGGCTGACAAATATGGGCCAGTCTTCACCATTAAGATGGGAGTGCGTCGAGCACTAGTTGTAAGCAACTGGGAGATGGCCAAAGAATGCTTAACGACCAACGACAAAGCCTTCGCTAATCGTCCGAATTTTCTAGCCTGTCAGATTTTGGGCTACGATGGGGCTATGCTAGGGTTTAGTCCATACGGCCCATACTGGCGTGAACTGCGCAAGATAGCCACGCTGGAGCTTCTCTCAAGCCATCGACTGGAAATGCAAAAAACCATAAGAGAATCCGAGGTAAGGTTGTCTCTAAAAGAGTTGTACAAATATTGGGATCGGAAGAAAAGTAGTTCAAACAATAGTAAGGTTCTGGTAGAGATGAAGGGTTGGTTTGGAGACATAACCATAAATGTTATTTGTAGGATAATTGTTGGTAAATCTGTGGGATATGCCACCACAAATGGGGATGAAGAACAGAGTACTGAATCCTGGAAAAATAAATTGGGTGAGTTTTTTCATTGGGCAGGGGCGTTTGTGGTGTCTGATGCGCTACCATTTTTAAGGCTTTTAGATATGGGGGGGCCAGTGAGGACCATGAAGAAGATAGCAAAAGATTTAGACCATGTTGTTGAAGCTTGGTTAGAGGAGCATAGGCAGAAGAAAGTAAATAGTGATCAGGTAATTAAAGGAGAGGAGGACTTCATGGATTTGATGCTATCCATTTTTGATGAAGCACATGCAGCCCAATTAGGTCGAGATTCTGATACCATCGTCAAAGCCACATGCCTGGTAATCATCTCCTTTTTAACCCTTTTCCAACCAATTGATATTTGATTATTTATTCTAAGTTAAGTGAAATCGAACTTGTATTTTTTGGCAGCCACGTTCTAGCTAGTTGGCTCTTAGCTTAATACATATTGAAGTTAACAAGAAATTCTTTTTGTTAAATAATACTAATTAAAATTAGAGCATCTCCAATAGTGCTTTCTATTTTTAGCTAGTATTTTTAATGTAAATAGAGAACACCATTAATTATATAGATTGAAGATGAAAGTCCTCTCCAATGCTAATTTTTAATTTAACTCTTTATTTTGACAAAATCAATAAAACTTAGAGAAACTGTTGGTGAAGAGGTCGAGTAACATATGAAATGATAATTTTCATTAATGAGATATAAGATAAAGAATTATTTGGACTCTATAATATTGAAGAGCAAAAAATATTTTGTATCTTACTTTTAAATATAAAATTGTGATAAGAAGAACATTGAAGATAGAATTTAGGTCAAAACTTTTTATTATAAAGAAAAATCTTAATATAAATAGGGGATTAAATGTGCTCTTACAGTTAGAATATTTTTTGCTTTATTCCCTCCGACAAAATTAATAAACAGATCTCAGCGTATTAATAGAAGAAGTAATACTATTGAAACTACTTTTTTTTTCCCTAAAGTCCGATATATGATCTTTTGTTAATTCAAAATTGCTATTTACGTAGCTTTGTTTCCAACATGTTGCAGGCCCTTATATTAGCTGCCTCAGATACCACAATGGTCTCTTTAACATGGATTCTCTCTTTGCTAGTTAACAATCCGAAGGCACTAAAGAAGGCTCAAGATGAATTAGACCTCCATGTTGGTAGAAAAAGGAAAATCCAAGAATCAGATTTACATAACTTGGTCTACCTCCAAGCCATCATCAAGGAAACATTGCGTTTATACCCTGCTGGACCACTATCATTACCGCATGAGTCTATGGAAGATTGCTATGTGGGTGGCTACAATATCCCAAAAGGCACAAGACTCCTTGTTAATATTTCCAAGATACAACGTGATCCTCGAGTATGGTCAGACCCTCACCAATTTCAACCAGAAAGATTTCTTACCGCTCACAAAGATTTTGATTTTAGGGGTCAAAATTTTGAATACATACCATTTAGTAGTGGTAGGAGGATGTGCTCTGGAATTTCGTTTGCGCTTCAAGTTATGCAGCTAACAATGGCTACTCTGCTGCATGGGTTTGATTTCGCAACCCCATCAGATGAACCGATTGATATGACTGAGAGCATTGGATTAACCAACGTTAGAGCCACTCCACTCCACGTTGTTCTGAATCCACGCCTTCCCACTCACCTCTATTTATAGTTCTTGTTGTCCCACATTTTAAACTCCTGAAAATTTTATTTATGGTATTTATGTTTGGAAAATGTAATGTATCATTATATAAATTAATGATTATGTATGGAATATTAATTACGGACTGTGCCAATAATTGTTAAGTATAATAATGGAACCCTTTCATAGCCAAAATATGATCAAAAGATGTGGTCCAAAGTTATCTTGATTTGTCTATAATTAGTTTTTAATTATATTAAATTTGGATTAATTTGGTTTAAAAATCAGTTCAGCAATCAAATAAATGCTAGACATATTTTGGCATTGACTTAACTCAAAAAGTGATAGACTTTATCTGGGGAAAGTATAAAGCCAAAAATGATATAAGAAGTCATATTGATAGAGGTGAGTTATTTATTGATTTTCAGACTTGTCACATATTATTTAAAGAGCTAAGAACGTAAAATGAACATAAGTTAAAAAATTTTAAAGTAAGGAATTGGTTATACTTTTTACAAATATCTCGATCACTAAAAACATCATTTCCTAAGAAATGTACTATGTCTAACGTAGTCCTAAAATTTATCTCTTAAAAATTTCTATTTTTAACAAAATTATTCCTAGTCAAAATTTCATTTTTTATCTCTATGTCAAACTAAGTTTTTTATTTTTGTTTTATGGCATCATCTTAAATTAATCGTTAGACCTCTTCGTTGGTCATCTCAACAATTCAACATCTAATACAATTAATGTCTCGATATAACCAATATGCTCGTAGAATAACTTAATTACTAAAATGTGATTTATTTGAGTCGACATAAGTCCTACCCTATTTAATAGAAGATTTTGTTAATTTTTCACATAATATATTTATTTTTTACATTTTTACCTTTTTCTTTTCTTTTTCTTTTCATTTAATTTTATTTTTATCTAGCATTTTCTCTCATCTTTTTTTTTATCAAGCTTTTTCTTCTCCTTTTTTTTTCATTTTTCTAATATCTTTTTTATTTTGGCTTTTTTTTTTCTAGCCTTTTATTTTATCTTTCTCCTAGCATCTCCTTTTTTTTTTAAATCCCTTTTTTCTAGCATTTCTATATATATATAACATTCCTTTTCCTTTTTTTTTTGTACATTTCTTTTTTTCTTTTTTATTTGTTGTAGGTGGGGAACTATCATCGGTCCCTAAACATTAGAAGACTCGATAATTCATTTACCTATTAATTACCTAACTTAATTATTAAAATAAATTCTAAAATTAAACATTGACTAAACAAATTCAAGAAATTCAAAATATTAAATCTAAATTAAGGATAAACAAACATAAATGCATAAAAGAAATCATTCATTTAGGGGGAAAAAAGTTAAAAACAAGGGTATTGGGCTTTTTGGGGTCAGCGAGCTCTTGGCCCATTGGGCCAGGCCCAGCAGGCCAGCCTTTCCTCTTCTCCCTCTTTTTGAGCCTGGGCTTTGTTGAGATCAGCCCAGGCCTTAACAAGCGGGTTGTAATTGGCCAAGCCCAGCCTTTTTTTTTCCCCCCAATTAATCAAACCCATAACAATTCTTCCAAAAACGATGTTCCCCACCCGTTCTTAATTCTCTCAGGATTAAAACCACAAGTTCTCATCCTCCTTCTAACCCAATCTCATTATTTCTCTCTGTCTCTCTCTCCTCCTGCTAGGAAGCAAACCTTCTCCTCCACACCTTGCTCGAAGAACCCTTAGATCCCCTTTTTGTAATCCTTCTAGCCTACGACTCTAATCTCTCTGCCTTACCTCCTTCCTCTCAACCTGCCAGAACCCTTGACTACTTAAGTCCTTCTTCAATCCAGTTTCAACCCTAAATCAAAAACCCAGAATGAAATTGATTATCCTTAGATCGACCTTTAAAACCCTTTTCCCAGAGAAATCCTCCAAATCTCTTCCCTTCCATTCGAACCTAGAAAGATAGATGGGTTATATGTTCATCCCGAATTAAACTTTATATCTTCATCTCTCCCTCTCCATCAGTGATTATCAGGTCATTAATCCACCCTCAATCTCTCATTTTTCTAAATTCCTTACCAAATCCCCCAAGTTTTCGCCCCTACATCTCAAAATCGAGAACCCTAGGTTTCAATTGGTTCCCTAATTGAACCCCCAAAACCAGACTAACTAAGTTTGTTATCCCTCATTGTAAAGCCATCAGTACCCTATTCTCCCCTTGCTCCTGCAAATCCGAACCCTATCCCCTACTTCTACCTAGTCCAAAAACTCAATTCAAATCCAAAGTCAGACGGGTAAACCTACAATCAAACCTTACAAACCCATCTAGATCCTCTTTTTGCCTTCCTCTCAAGAAGTCAAATGCAACACAGAACAAAATTAAACATGGATGGAGGGTTTCAGGATGATGATAGTGATGAATATCACTGTCATCAACCATCCTGGAAAAACCATGGATTACATTTATGCAAAAATAGAACTTCATAAAGGGAAAGGAAAGAAGAATCTTTCCTGGATGTCCTGTTTGAGTGGAACTTGGACGAGGATGGATGGTAGCAGTGATGATGGTGGTTTCAAAGGGTAGGAAAATGTGCTGGGGTGTTGATGGCAGGTGCCTAACTGGGGAGGAGCAACTGGCAGAAGACGATCTCTGCTTCAGTTTCAGTAAAGTCCTTTCAGAGTCCAGAAGCTATCAAAACTAATGGGTAAGGGCATCAAACTCCCAAGTTTTATTGTGGTTTGTTTCTGCTTTAGCCATTCTGAATTGAATTCAAACTTTGTTTTCTCCTGATATTGGTTCTGGGATTTCCACAACTCTCTGCTCCCTCTCGTGTTTTCAAACTCTCCCTTCCTATGATTATCTAGAGTTACCTTCTGTTGTTTCCACAATCACTCAAACCTTCTCAATTCTTTCCTTTAATTGCCTCTCAATTTGCCTCGGGATTACCTCAATTGTTTCTGTATTCCTCTCAAAATTCTCTTCTGAATTTCCTTCCTCTAAATTTCATAAACTTGACCCTTGTCTATACTGAGAATCAGGCTCCCTTTCTGATTTGGTATTGCTCGTAGTTTTTGGCTCTGTATAAATATAGCCAAAAACATTTGTGCTTTCAAACCGTGCCTCATTTTTACCTGTTTTGGGTGTGTTTGTTTTGCAGGTTGTTGCACGTTGCAGGAGCTACAGATGTAGGATTGCAGGGATTTGCAAGAGCTTTGTCCCTCTGGCCACTGATGGAGATGAACAGTGCCAGAGGGTGGTATGGTCGCGCCATGTCCAGATTTTGGAAGCATCTGGACGACAGGTCGTTTTGGTTGAACCCGAATTGGTCCTGTCGTCTGTTCCCAATGTTCAATTAGGTCGATGTAGGTTTAAATTTATTCCGATTCAAACCCTTTGGCGAGTCATTGTAGTCCCTGGACTTTTAAATTGCCTGAATTAGGTCCTTGTACTTTCTAATTTTAATCCTACAGTTTCGAATTGCTTCAATTGTACCCTGATTCTTCTAATTGTAATTCTATTTGATTCAATTATCCTCCTAACAATTAAATTCCTTTTGTGTTTTTTTTATATTTTGTATTTTTTTTGTATTTTTGTATTCCCCCCCCCCCCCCCCCTTTTTTAAATAAATTCCAATAATGAAAATAAAGTAAAAATAAAATTAAGATAAAATAAAATAAACAAAACAAAATAAATAAAATAAAAAAGCGATGATAACAACTTTAGAGGGGAAATTTTGGACTATAACATCTCGAACTACAAGATATGAAAGATTCATCGTCACTCGCCAGTCCCCTGATGGGGTTGCAAACTAAAACCCATGAAGCAACAAAACATGTGCAAGTTTCTTCTCCCGCTTCCAAATGGCGAAAAGTCAAAATGCTATCCTTTAACATCAAAATCTTTGTGAGTTGTAAGAATTCTTTCTGCTCAAATTTTTTATGTTGTCCTAAGCCAACGTTAACGCCAGAATATGTTTAAATAATTAGTTAACTTGTTATGAATACGTTTAGTCAGTAATAGATAGGAATAAGTATTACTAAGGATAATAAGTCACTTGTTATGAATGCGTTTAGTCTTTTATAGGTAGATATGAATAAATTTAGATAATTAGTCAACTTATTATAAATACATTTACTTTTTAGTAGGCAAGGATAATTATGACTAATAATACGTATCTAATTAGTCAACTTGATCGTTTAGTTGTTCAGAATGGATTGTTATGAATACGTTTAGATTTTAATACGCGAGGATAATTATGACTAAAAATATATATTTAATTAGTAAATTTATTATGAATACCGAGAATACATATCTAATTAGTCAACTTGTTAGGACTAATTATCTATCAATAGTAAAAATATTTGATCTTACCAACAAGTTATTAGCCCAATTGTCATAACCTAAAATTTCCTCCATCTTTATCCCTTTTAATTTTTAATTTATCTTATTTTATTTTTATCCCTTTCATTTTTTGGTTTCATTGGTCTCTTTTGTTTATTTTTTGTTTTGCATTTTAGTTTTATTATTTTATTTTATTTTATTTTACTTGGGAATTTACAAAAAAAGAAAAAAGAAAAAAAGAGGATATGAAATACAAAATGCTTAAAATTAATTACAATAGGGGCATGATTGAATAAAATCAGAGCTGAAATTAGAACAATTGAGGATACGATTGAAACAATCGAAAATCGAAAGACTAAAATTAAAAGATAAAGGGTTCAATTGAAAAACAAATTGAACGAACCAAGGACCAAAATTACATGCCAGAAGGGTATAATTGCAAACCATTAAAAGGTGCAGAGACTCAATTGAAACTAGGGTACGAACGATAGGATCGAAAATTGAGCGAACGACATGTCGTTTGCTGCAACCCAATATCAATTCCTGGGTCTGTTCATCGTCTTCCTTGGAGATAAAATTCTCCAAATTTTTGTTCGTTTTGTGATTCTTGACAGATAATTGTACCAGCCAAAAATCACGTTGCACACATCTCACACCACTCATATGCACCCCCTGCACCACTGCACCAGCACTACAACCCACACACT